GTAAACTACCAGCAGAAGTGACAAAAGAGTAAGTCAGTTACCAACTGTGTTGAATGAAGAGGAGAGGTGGTAAGACCTCTAGGACACTGTTCTAGGAAAGCTTTTGTTTTAGTAACCCCCTTTTGTAGTAGTCTTCTAATTAATATGACAGGCCACTACAGTCCCTTTCATTATTAGAACTGTAAAGGAGCTTTGTGTTGCATTCTCCTCTTGTCTTCTTAAAAGGTCTGCTGCCTACAGCACAGGTAGCACCCTGGTCTCAAGGCCTTCCTCAATCCTGCAGTCAGAGTCTAGGAAGCCAGGAGCATATTCATCATCTGCTTTCCCAGCTTCTATATGGAGTGAAATTGATGTATATTGTGGGCTGTTCTGGCTGTGTTCTGCTGTAGTTGCTGTGACACTCGCGTTCCTGTTGGTATATTTATTTCCTGATTTTTTTTTTTTTTTGCAATTTTTACAGAAATCATGAAAACCATTAAACTAGATTGCTCTGGTCCTTGGATTTCCATGGCAATAAACAGCTTTTGCAGTTCAGGGTTTTGATCAGTCACAAAAAACTATTACTATTGTAGTCTTGTGCCCTACATATTGTATACAACCAGAGAACTGCTACAAGCATTGAGATTTGCCAAACCCCACAGGTTTTATTTGTAGGGGCAAAAAAAAAGGAGGGGGTCTTAAATACATTCTTAGTGTTTTGCTGAGTAGGGATATCTCCCAGTTTTGTAATCTCTCTCTCCTTCCTTGAATTCTTTACACTGGGCTGAAGATGAATGGAAAACAATTTCTTTTTCACAGAGGTGTTCCCTTTTCTGTAGTCTTCTCCCCTTCTGTCTTTTTTTTTCTAGCAACTGCAAGCTTATAAGCTGGATACCCATCCTTTATCCTGTCCTCTGTTCCTTGTCCCCACAAGGACCAGCAGCATTCTGTAATGTGCTGATCTCTAAGGAAATAGTAGTTTCACCACACATATTCCTTGGCTGTGGCCTCGTTTACGTTTTCAAGGAGCTGCTGACTTAGATGCTGTAACACCTGCAAGCTTGCATTTGGTTTTAATTCTGGCTTAACTTCTGAATGTATTTTTACAAAATACTTCGTTTTTACTGTTAATTGTATTTAGTCTGCTTTTTGTAACCTTTACTCAATTAGCTTGTGTTCATCCATCTGTCCCTAGTAATGTTGGTGGTATTAGGAAATTTCAATAGAACGTAAGGTAAAGGTAGTATCTCGGAGTATTAAGTTAGTCTAACAAACATGCCAGAGTTTTGGCTGGCAGGGTGAGAAGGAAAAGCTGCTGTTGACATTTGTCTGGCTCTCTGGAAGCTGAGAGGTAACGTGTTCTTGTTGGTTCACTTTGCGGTCAGAGGCTGTGATCATCTAAAACAGCCTACGCAGAAGACCAGGCAGAGTGCATGGAGGATGTCAGCAGCAAGGTGAACTGTTGGAAAACATTGTTTCTTGCATGTTGCGGGATAATTTTATTGATGATTTGAAGATACAGTAGTAGTAGGTCTATTGTAATGCAGATTCTTCTGTAGGGACTAGTCTGCAGCAAATCTGGTACTTGAATAAGAATTAGTGCAGAATAGTGAACTTTCAAAGGAAGAAAAGTATTTATTCTGGAAACTGTAATATAGTTGAAAAAAGGCAAAAAGAATTGGTTTCACATCATGGCTGTCTCATGTTTTTTGATGAGGTCTTGCTTCTGAGGTGTTGTTTCTTTGAAAGTTCTTACCATATATGTTACTGCATAACTGATTAGGTTGGACTGACGATGATGTTGCAAGTGCTTATACATGGATATAAAAAAATGCAGCTAGTCTGCACATAAACTAAGTGGCATCTGGTATTGTTTATATTTGCACCTTATTTTTCTTTAATATTTTGTATAAATGCTAGGGATACTAACTTCAGTCAAGTGTTTTACTATCCTTGAAGGAAAATCACTGTAAGTGTAGTGTAATATATAGTTTGGAATAAAGGAAGAATATTAAAATACTCAAGATGTTAGAATTGAAACTCATGAGTAAATACAGTGCTGCCCAAGCTGAACATCTGTATTTGAGCTATTTGGAGAGACTGTTGCACCCAGACACCTAAAACTATGTCCTAGACACTAAAAGATTTGAATTGCGAGTGCTTTTCATGGCTTAAAAACTGATACTAACAAACTTTCTTTTAAAAACTGTAGTGGTCTTTATTCCTGTTTCCTTTATATCATTGAATCATGACCTTTGGATTACTGTTGTAGCTCTCTTCTGATTCTTCATACTGGACACTGCGCGTGTCTGGGTGTGCCCTCTCCTTCCTGCATTCTCAGCCTGTGCAGGTTTGACAACTTGGGACTAAAAAGAGGGAGTTTGCCTGGAGCACCCCTCTGGTTCTGGTTGAGCTGGTGTTAACACCAGTGCAGCTACTTGCTATCAGTCTAATGCCCCTTTCCTTTTGAATAATCAAACAGAAAATTGGGTACTTAAGCTAAGATAAAACATGAAAATCCTTTTTGACTGTTCTGAGCTAACAGAGTGAAGCCTTCTCTCTTTGTTTTTTTTTTTTTTTTTAATTTCTGAGAATGCTCTTGTCCTGTTTCCTTGCTAGCCTTCAGTTACATTACTGTCTGCTTCTCCTCTTTGCCGGTAGTGGGTGGCTGATCTACACCTTGTAGCCCTGTGCTTTGTTGTGGGAACCTTGGATGCTTCTCACCACCTCTGCACTGGGGGAAGCCCACCTGCCCTTCCAAGGACCTAGAGACTTCTGTGCTATCCGCTACACTTCCATGTATGCTGGGGTATAAAAGTTAAATGAAGTAACCTGATAAGGTTAGAACCCTGATAAGTAGATCTAGTTACTCCAAAGTGTAAGCTAGCTGAGAAGTACTTTTTTTGCATATGTTTGAGTTAGTTTTCTGTCTTGAACTGGTCACTCACTGTGGTTAAGTGTGTAATAGTGATGATATGATGATGAATGGGGGATTGTTAAAACTTCCCTTTTGGTGACAGCTAGCAAGCCACTTGCTTATCTGTATCCACTTTCATTGATCAGCTTAATTTCTGCCTACTCTGAGCACCAGTATAACCAATTCAAATTAAAAGCAAAAATAAAAGGGAGGGGGACACAGCCTGTAATTTATCCATTTGTACTCATGGCAGTTCAGCCTTCTTTCTTGTCCTAGCCTCATGCAGTTCCTTCTCATGGGCAATTTACGCAGCTGTATAGTGAAATGGATCATTTATCTACCTGAAAAATTGCCTGACAATAAATGTATTTCCCTCTAATCCAAATTAACTTCCCTTTTCAGTTTACCACAGGGCTGCAGAGCACACCTGAGTGGGAAGAGGGGAAAGAGCCTCATAGGGATTGGGAGAGGGCAAGATTGTCGCAGTACCAGCTTGCCGTGACTGGAGTTAGTAGAGCTGAGGCATGTACTAGCTTGGTGGTGCTGTTCCCTGCCATGCCATTCAGCTGAACTGGTTTGTTTTTTTTAAAAAACATGGTTAAAAGTTTTATGTTGTCTGTAACATTATAAACATTCAGCACAGTAATCGCACTGATACTCTGCAGAAAGTTAAAATGAAGGATATTTAACTGTAATTATCTCAGTCATGAAAATCTGAGCATGAAACCAAATCTAAGTCATAAACTATTTGCGTTTGGTATTTTGGTGTATTTACAGAAGACACTTTTTTTTCTTTCTTTTGCTGTAGAAATTCCAAGGAAGAAATTTTTGAGGAGAAATGCTTTTAGTTCAGATTGTGTATATTGCTCATTGTAATCCTCTGTTTTATTGCCAGATACCCCTAATAACAGCACATACTCAGTACTGTGTAACCTCATAACATAATCTCATAGCATTAGTAAACTTTAAATGATGATGACTTAAGACTAGAGAAATGTCGGTCTCTGCTTTTTGATCTAGAAGTAACTGAAGATGCTCTGAAAGATAGTATTTGAAATCTGTAGGTAACTTAAATTTTACTTATTTCCTAAATTTCAGTACATTGCACTTCTAATTTCTTAAATAAGCAATTTTTAAATTAAATGATTGTCACTCGAAATAATAGTGTATCTGACACTAAAGTTCTCATAATGTCAGCATCACAGTTGATGCTATTCTGAAGCATAATATCAACATCAAAGGATGAATAAATTGTGTTTAAGGAGGAAAACCACATATTTGGTTATAACTGTGTTGGACTATACAAACTTCTGAACAAATATCCTTCAAATGGTTTTTAACTCAGAAGCTAGGAAGTAAAAAGCCTTGCTTGATAAATTCTCATTCCTTTGTTTTGAAAAAAGTGGATTTGGAAATGCAGTATTTTTTTGTGTGCATTATTTAGCTATTCAAAATCACCAGTTGTACCCAGCGTACTGAGTTCTGTTTTGAGACAACTGAAAGTAAACTGCAGCTGTGTTTTTAAGAGCAGAATACAGGCAGCAGCATATATTCTTTTTAAAGTTGAATTTCTTAATGAAAAAACTCCTAGATCCTTCATTGAAGGGGCTTCTTAGGGTTTTTTTTTAAGAGCTGAAGTCTTCCATATCGCAATACAAATTTCAGGCTGTGCTCTAGTATTCTCAGCTTTGTGACTGAGTAATAAAACAGTCTGTACAGATAACATAAATAGAAAAATACTAGTAACAGGAAATAAAAGTAATTCTCAATATTTGTGCAGTCTGTAAGCAGACCCTGTGTTTAGTAAGGCAGAAATTAGAATGTGTTGCCAGAATGGTCTCCTTTATTTTTGGTTCATTGTGCACGTGAAGCAGAACAGAAGTATTCAGAATAATGCTCATATTTTTATCTGAGCAATTTTAAATCTTGGACTGTCCTGCCTTTTGATTTGTGTCATCTTTCCATCGTATTTTTTGTTGCCTGTTTTAATATACTAGTGTATGTTATGTAAACAGTGCTGTGCTGTTGCTGTAGATTGACTTTCTCTGATGTGTAGATAAGAAAAAAAAACCTTTTTTTTTTTTTTTTTTCCCCACTCTTGCAGAAAATTCTAAGCTGAGACATGTAGAAGAAGATGTTTTGATTCCACAAATAATGAGGGACCGAGCCAAGGAGCGGTGTTCAGATCAAGTGCAAGGTAAGAGTCAAATATTCATTGGGAAATCACATGTATTCACTTTTGTACCCTGAATATAATCCTTGCTTTTGAAGTCAAGTAGTCACAGAATTAATATGGATGATCTGTATCTTACCTGTTCACTGTGAAACCAGTAGTAAAACATACAGTTCTGTCATGTTGGCTTTGGCTGTGTATTTCCACAATGACTTGTTCATGAGAGCTGTGGAATTTAGTATGATTAATATAAAACTTTCCACATCTTGGTCCAGACTATGTGATGACAGAGCAATAGAAGAGCTACTGTATTTCTATGCATAATACCTGACACTTACTTAAATGGAATTGCCGTGTGAGCCTTCATCTAGGGGATATTCCCAAATAACTGCATCCATTCCCTGCCCAAATATTTTAATTATACATGCACATGAACAACATACTTACTAGACAGATGTTGAAATAGGATGATGCAGTCTGCTTTTCTATGTTGTTATCTTCTTTTGAAGACTACTGGACAATAACTCTTTAAAGTTGGGTATCATCACTTTTGACACCCAAACGTTCATATATACCTGGAAGAAAACTTTTTGAAGTCCCATCAAGATAGAGCTACTTACACACGTTAGCTGAGAATGCTGGTATAAGAGGAATGTAAGAACGGGGAGGGAGGAGGGAAATCAGGCCACAGAATTATTCTATACAAGTGTCATGCTTTCAGTCAAGGACACTTGCCTCTTGTCATCTGGATCTGTGTTCTCTAAACTTTTTTAATTGCATGCCTCATCAGTAAAAAATATCTGAGCATGCAATTCTAATATATGTATATTTATTTATAAATTATATGCACATACTGCTATGGTATGTACACTATAAGACAAAAATAGAAATTAAGATGAGATAAAGATGAAATAAAGAGTACTTATAATAATTTTTGTTCTTTATCAATGGCACAACAACCTTTTTTTCTCTGAAAGTATTAGTAACACTCTTTTTATTTAGTGCCATATTACTGAGCATACTTCATTGTTTAACATGTAACGGTACAGCAATTCAAAGGATGGTTCAAAGTTCAGTTTATTTCGGTACTTGGTTTTAATGGCTGTCAGAACCTAAAAAAGGTACCTTACAAAGATGTGTGGATCCCAGTGGAAGCAGTGCATCATTCCCTGCACTTACTAAATGATGATGCTAATTTTTCAATCCCATCGACAAATTCTGCAGTTTTTGCTTGAAACTGTGTCCTGGTGTCAGTCACTTGTTCTTCCAGACTAATCGGGAGGTGTTGCATGTGTATGTTTTTTACGAATAGATATGAGAGGTGTTTGTAGGTGACATACTCACATTGTGCTCAGCAGCAAAAAAACAAATACAAACCCACATCAACAGAGGAACAATTCCAAACATCTGTTTCCAGTGTGCTCTCTCATACCTGCATTTCTTTGCAAAGCACTTACTTTCTCACTCATTGTTAAAATGTCACCTTCACCTTGAAGGGACACATTAAGTGTGTTTAATTTTTGGAAATACCTGCTAGGTATCAAACTGCTCCCAGCCTCCTCTCATGTGAAGGTCAGCAAGTTTGGAGCCCTTGTCTCTTTGCAAAAGAGAAATGTGTAAAGTTTGACAACTTTGCCACAAGATAACCCGTGAAGTGCTGTATGATGCAAGAGATTTTCATGCTCTCTCCCCATCTATTTCAAAGTCTGGTAAAGCTACTACTACTGAAGGATTTGTTCTTATAAAGTTAACTGCATTGATGTCATCCTGTAGGACTTTGTGCACTCCTGCCTGTGACTACTCTGCTATTATAGCTAACCTACAAGTGATAGAGTGAAGGAATTTCATGTGCAGGGCTGTTTGTAACCTTAGCCTGGATTCCCTTTCTTATTCTAGTCAAAGAGCTGTTCCATTCATGGCCATACTTGCACAGTTTTTCCATAAACCATTGTTTTTTATTAAAGAATCTGTTTCCTGTGAAAAATAAATCTTCTCTGGTGCAGCTCTCTGTTGGTGGCTCATAAAAAGATAAGTTCATCATGCGTTTCATTACTGAAATGCAAATACCGTAAGCAGAGAGAAGTTAGAAACTCCCAAATTGTGTAACTTGCTCTAATATTTGTATCTTCAAATCTTCATCAGTGTCTTGTATGCATCTTCCAACAGTATTTACTGACAAAGGTGTGCATTTTAGTTTGTTTACATACTTTTTTGCCGGCACTATTTCAGCAGTTTTACCATGGAGAAAGAATAATTGTTTCCCTAATGGTATGTGGCTTTTTGTCTTTCGCTATTACCTAAGAAACTTCAAAGGGGGCCTCTAGAGATTTGTCACTAGGTTTAGAGTCAAGTCTAGTTAAAGAGGACCAGTGTATTTTCAAGCAGGTGCCTTTAGGGGTTCTCCAAAAGACATAAACGAGTGGTGTTATAATAATTCTGAGATTGAGTAAGTGGGAAAAGAGTTGGGAATATCTGCTAAAGGGAAGTGGCATCACATGACAGGTAACTTCCAGTGCTGCCAAAAGGATTTAAAATACTTTTTTTTTTCTTTCATTTGAACGATAGTTGAGTAATTTTTACTTTGAACTCTGTATATGTTGGGGAGTAGGAAATGAAGAAGAAAAGCAATTAATGTGAGTCATTGAAAGAGGATGTAGTTAAAGATATTTTGAGAGCATGCTAGTTGTATAATTTCATTTGGGGATAGACTAAGGGGTTCGTGTGTGTGTGTTTTTCCTCTGAACTTTCTCTGTGTAAGATGAGGACTTTATTTTCAGCATCTTAATTTTCAGTGGCAGCAGCCAATATTGGAGATTCTTGAGTTATGAGTTGTGAAATATTACCTGACAGCTTTTCCATAGTTTTGCCTCCATAAATCTTAAAGCAAAATGCTATCTTTTGTTGTCTTCCTTCTCCTGAATAGAATTTACTTGTGTATCTTTAGGAGAATGAGGCTTGTAGATGCATCCACCTCCCCCTTATCCCTCTGTCACCTACCTGTAAACCAGCCTTGATCAAATTATGTGGAAGTTAGAGATGGAAACTGAATATTTCTGATGCAATTTTTATGATCAAATAGACAAGCAAAATCCACATTTATATCCCTAATAAAAAAAGAAGGTGGTAGTATAAGTGAGCACTTTTGTACAGCTTTTAAATCTGAATACAGGGGAGAGACCAAAACACAGGAAAATAAGCTTGAGCAGTTTTGTGAACAGGAGCGTTTATAATCTCTTAAATCCATTGTCAAAATTGTCTTGTTAGTACACACAGATAGGTATTAATCATAGTAAATGGGCTGTGGGGTTTGTGCTGTAAACAATTCTAAGCTATGAACGTAAGCTGTGAAATTAAGTAATCAAAACTCTTGCAATCCGGTTGGTGTGCTACGAAGTGTACACATGTGCATGGAATTGTGCTGTTTACATTGAGTGGCAGAGCTACTCATTTAACTTGCTCTCAGTGCTTTAATTTTGGTTGAACAGCTCTTTGTTAATACACTTCTGTGTCATTTTGTCTTTAGGAAGTTGTGGTAAATGCATTGGTAATATAGGAAATGAAGCTTTACTATTTACTTGATCACATTATGTTCATATGTATCCCTATGGGGAGCCCCTATACTTTCAGTAGTGCTCTGCGTGAGCACAGAGGTCCATCTGTATGCAGTCGGTTACCTTAGCCTGCAGCTATACTACCTAGAGCTGTGTGCTTATCAGAGCTAATAATGCAAGTAGTGACAGCCTGTCCAGCACGTGTTCAGGAGCCATCCGGGGAAAAGAAACCCCAAGGGTTAAAAAATAAATAAGAAATAAAGGTTTTGTTAACTCAAGAGGTGATCCTGCTACCCTAGAGCAGTTAAATGGGTGACCCATTGCTGTGCTTGGTTGTTAGCATATCAGAGTACCTTAGGGATGAAATAACCGTGAAAATGTGTTCATCTGGTCATTTTTAAGATCAACTAAGTATTTTATTTAGATTATTTGATTTTACTTTGAACTGTTTTCAGGCTGTTTCAGTATAGTTCTTGTGTGTGCTGCATGTTTCTCAAGACAAGTGCATCTCAGTCAAAGAATGATTTCTTTCTAAGCATTTACAAGCACTTTTTCAGTGAAAATGGGTATATTAGTAATTTTAAGATGGGAAACATGCTTTCTGTGAAACACTAGTCAATTTTCCATGACTGTTGTGTAAATATGCTTTATTGTGTTAATATCCATGCACATTATGTATGTGAAATTGTGGGCTATTACAGGAGTATCAAAAAAACGAGTTATTACAAGGAGCTACTACAGGAGTATCATAAAAGCCAAACAAACAAAAAAATGGCCAACAACATTGTCATGCAAGGGCTTTTCACTGTATTTTGTAGGCTGTAGCATGAGTTTGTGTGAAATAATACTAAATCCATGTATTTCTTTATTGGTGTGTCCTTGGCATATAGAAATACTTGCCTTCAAACTGAAGCAGCAAAAAGAATCATTTATTTACCATTGCCTGATCCGTTGCTTTTATGAAATAATTTCTTCAGGGAGCTGTTTTTCCTTTAAAATTGTTAAGGTTTTGGCTGTAATTTACAGTTACAAAATTTAAATTTGACTAAAGTTCTTTAAGGCGAAATCATAGCAAATTTCAGGAACCTGAAGTTAGCATTTTTCATCAGAAAGGTTTTTTCTTAGTTTATCAGAACTGTGATTTCATCTAGCTGCACTGTGCTATTTATGAGTCCTCTCTCTTCTGAAACTATGCATACTCACTAAAAAGAAACCCTGCCAGAGCTTGGTTGATCTTGATCATATCTACAGAGCAGTTTATTTAATTTCTTAAGAGCACATGCTCTGCTGTTCAGAGTTACTGAATCTGAAACTTAATTTGATGGGTTTAGGTAGAGAAGAACTACTGAGGACAGAAATACCAAGCTTTAAGTTTTGTACACTCAGTTCGGTTTGATTTTGTGTTACTTGGCTTGGAAAATAAAAAAAACAGAAACAGGTATCTGAGAGGTTGTGGGTCAGTCATGAGATCAT